AGCGGGGCTGGCCAGGCAAGGGGCTGTGGGCAATTTGCTGGCTGGTCACACCCCCAATCAGGGTGGGGTCCCCGGGGCAAGGGGTCATGGGAGGTTTTCTGGCTGGCCACACCCCTGAATGGGGTGGGGTCCCTGCTGGGGGGTGGGGCCAGCCAGGGTGAGGGGCCGCAGGCAGTTTGCAGGCAAGCCATGCCCCTGATCGTGTTGGGGGTCCCCGCTGTGGGGCAGGGCCGGCTGGGGCAAGGTGCCACGGTCATTCTGGTCTCTGGTTGTTCTGGTCATTCTGCCGTTTCGGTCACTGGGCTTTTATCATATAGGTTTAGTCAGAGCTTTGATTTAGTAAAAATACCAATCTTTTATACTTCAAATGTTGCATCTATAGTTCATTTGAATATGTTATTTCAATATTATCCTATATAATAAAAGGCTAATATGCAAATCCACCGAACAGCAGAACGACCAGTTGCTATGATGCACACTGACCACCAGGGGGCAGATGCTCAATGCAGGAGCTGCCTCCTGGTGGCCAGTGCGCTCCCACAGGAGGAGCACTGCTCAGCCAGAAGCTGGGCTCATGGCTGGCAAGTGCAGCAGCGGTGGGGGAAGCCTCTCCCTCCTTCGTGGCAGTCGGACATCCCCCCGAGGGCTCCCAGACAGCAAGAGGGTGCAGCCCGGGCTGAACGATGCCCTCGTGTGCACAAATTTCATGCACTGGGCCTCTAGTTAGTTTTTAAATCACTATTTCATCCAAGCTTTCTTGCTCACAGAATAAGGCCCCACAATTCTTTGACTACTTGACTTATTAATTGCCATTGCCTATTAACTGGAGGCAACATGCAAAATAAAACCTTTTTGCTAATTAATGCTAGCAATACCCATTTACTTGAAGAATCCACTCAGTCGTATATTTTCCTGTAATTTGGAAGAAAAATGTTAACTCTTCTATCATTTTCCTTCCTCCTTCCCTTCTTCCTGACACCCAAACGGGTAACTACTGGTAGTATCTGGAAACATGTTAAAATATTCAGATCCTGGGGAAAAACCAGATCATCGATGATAATTAACACAAGAAATTTCACTCAAAAATATTATTGGAAAATGGCAGTTGATGTGTTGGAAAGATGTGTGTGTGTGTGTGTGTGTGTGTGTGTGTGTGTGTTCCCTTGTTTATGCTTAAATAGACAAGAACTCTATAAAAAGTGTTTTTTTTGTAGGAGGTGGTTTGGGTAGGGTAAATAGGAATGGAAATGGGAGTGATACATTAGAAACTACTCTTTTATATTGTTTTGTATGTATTATCTACTCAAAATAAAATAAGTAGAAACAATCTTCCTTCATAACACTATGCCATGAACATTTACAAAAATGTACTAAGGAATGTGATATATGACAGTGAATTATTGGGGGGGAAATCATAATTTTTCCAGACAGTAAATTGTGCTTAACTACTGCCATAACTCCAGTCTGACTGATTAAACATTCCAGTCCAGTAATTCAAGTTCTCAAGTGATCTGTATTTTCCTATGCTAAAAAGCCACTGACAGAGAGGAGAAAAAGCACTATAGAAAACTCAGAAACTATAGAAAAATATAACATAAAACGTGATATTCACTTAAAAATCTAATACAAAGATAGTCACTGCCATCACTTTGGAATATTTGTAGAGAGTCTCTTGTTCCATTTTTCATACAAGATATATTCATATTTGATACATGATATTAGACGTATTGACCTTAAATATACTAAAATGTAGTCTCTGGGGTAAGAATATTCTAGAATAAGCACTGTAGAAATTTTGTATACATTGAAAAATAAGAAATGAATATAAGACCAAAAGATTATTGTCCTACCAAAAAGTTGCTAAAAAAATTAACAAACGAAATTCAAAAAGTAACTGAAATTTTTAAAAATTAAGCAAATTGGTAGGTTACAGAACAACAAATAGGCAATCAATTATAAAACTTTATCAAGTAATCTACACAGCTTTTAAATGAGGGTTTATCAAACTGGCAAACAAAAATGTTCTACTAAACAGTATTAGAGAGGGAAATGGATTTTAGTATACATAAAACCCATTTTCCCCCTTATCATGGGGAATACTATTAGAGAAGGAAATGTGTTTTAAGATACATAATCACCCCTTTTCCATGGGGCATATGTTTAAAACCCCCATATCAAGTGGATGCCTGAAACCACGGATAGTACCACAACCTATACATACTATGTATCTTTCCTATACACACATATCTATGATAAAGTTTACTTTATAAATTAGGCACAGTAAGAAATTAACAACTAATAATAAAATAATTATAACAATATATTGTAATTATTAAGTACAATAAGTGACTAATGGACAAGTACCTTTTACAGAGTTGATACACTGGACAAAGAAATAATTCATGTCCTAGGTGAAGCAGAGGCGAGATGAGGTTTCATCACCATACTCAGAAAGACACACTATTTAAAACTTATGAATTGTTTATTTCTGGAATTTTCCATTAAATATTTTTAGAATGTGCTTACCCTGGGTAACAGAAACCATGAATAAGGGGACTAATGCACTATTTATCTATATATATAAAAGCCTAAGCGACCATTACGACTGAACGACCAGAACAATCAGTTGACCAGTCGCTATGACACGCACTGATCACCAGGGGGTAGATGCTCAATGTAGGACAGTGATGGTGAACCTATGACACGCGTGTCAGAGGTGACACGTGAACTCATTTTTTTGGTTGGTTTTTCTTTGTTAAATGGCATTTAAATATATAAAATAAATATCAAAAATATAAATCTTTGTTTTACTATGGTTGCAAATATCAAAAAATTTCCATATGTGACAGGGCACTAGAGTTAAGTTAGGGTTTTTCAAAATGCTGACACACCGAGCTCAAAAGGTTCACCATCACTGATGTAGGAGCTACCCTCTGGTGGTCAGTGCGCTCCCACAGCCAACCTCCCACGGCCAGCCAACCTCCCACGGTTCCTCCCCCTGGCCAGTCCCTCCTCCTGGACAGTTGGCCAACCTTCCATGGTCCCTCCCCGTGGCTGGCCAACCTCTTGTGGTCCCTCCCCCTTGTCCCTCCCCTCAGCTGGCAAGCCCTGATCAGCCCAGCCCCGATCCTGGCCCCAATCGGCCCTGATAACCCGCCAGGCCTAGGAACCCCACCCGTGCATGAATTTATGCAGCAGGCCTCTAGTGGGAATATAAATTGTTATAGCTAGTTTGGCCAGCACTGTGGCACCTATTTACATGTTAAAAAATCACAGCAACTCTATTTCTTTGCATATATTTTATGAACACATGTGTACTATAAAGTATATAGAAGCATCCTTACTGCAACAATTATAGTTATGGAAAAATATTGGAAACAACCTAGGAAAATAGGTAGGTAATTTGTGGTATGTCAACATGATGGAATACTACTTCAGCCATTAAAATGGATACAGAGGCAGCAATATATCTCAAGCTTGAATGTGCATTTAAAATTCACCTGATGTGCTAGGTAAAATGTGCACTGCCTCCAGCCCAGAGATTCTGATTTAGTAAGCCTGAAATTGTTAAAAAAAATCATTTTTAATAACCCAAAGGATTCTAATACAGGTGGTAACATTGGCCACTCTGAAAAACATTGGTCTGTAACAGAGTGGGAAAAACAATTTCTAGAACAATATGTATTGTATGACTACATTTATGTTTTTTAAAGAATATTTGTAGATTTAAATATAAACGATAGATGCATGAAAGTAAATTTGTGGAAAAGTCTGAGATCACAATGGTGATCTCTGAGGAAGGAAATGATCTATTAGGGGATGGATAGATAAAGGAGGACTTTCACAGTTTATAGATTTCTGTAGTATTTGATTTTTTTGGTACCAAGAATATACTTAAGTATTAAATAAATAATGTTAAGAAAATACAACATAATAAAAAGGTAAAATACATTTTAATGTCATGAGTTAGTATCTGCTTCTTAAATGAAGTTTCACTTTTGTAGTATTATCATCTAAAATCCTGACAAGCTGGTGCTACTTTTTAATGACTTTTTGACTACATGCAAGACATTCCTTTTTATTTCCCTCATACTTAGGCGTGTCTCCATGCATTATCTCAGCAATACAGAAATATTCCCATTCAAGGAACTATTCACAATATCAGGCCTCCTTCTCCTGACTAACATATTTAGAATGAAAATTGTCAGGGATGAATTTGGCACTATCACCACAAAAGCAATGGTTAAGCAGGACAGACAAATGTGGGTAGTGAGAAACTGCTTCCTGCTGTGGTTTCTCAGTGGTAGAAAAACACTGAAGGGCAGAAAATTTGGGAGCATGGCCTGGCTTATTAGGTCACTAGGCCTAGTTCTGAGGGATAATGCCTTCAAGTAGGAATTAGTTTGAAGTTGACACATTGTCTAGTGAAGTGGAACATTAGAAGACATTATTACAACATGCTATCCTGACATGAAACTAATTAGATAGTAATTACACACTTACATGTTGATTTCTTAGTCACCAGAAAACAGTTCTATGTAATTTATATTTTGATGTCACAACATTACTTAAAACACAGACATACAGAAATATATGACATTATAATGCATGAATCATAAATTATCTTGCTGATGGATAATGAGTTTAGCCTAAATTTTTCTTAAAAACTTTACAGTATTAAGTTATTTCATCTCCAACTCAAGTTCTGACTCTTCTAGGCAGAATGATAGCAACTAGTCTACAATTAGCAATATTTTATAGAATGTTTTACAGCTAGAAGAGAAAAATAAACAATTACGCTTTTCATCTGCTTAATTTTATAGATGAGGACAAAGTCACAATATTCCTAAATGGTCTCTGATTCCCAAAGCCCAATGTTGTTATACATTGTAGGTGCAATGTTTAATATACCACGACTAGATAATATTTTGCAACAAATGATATATACTGATTAGTACCTTTTATTTTATTTCATTTTAAGTGCATTCATGAACACTTACCTGATATAGAAGGTCTTTTTGAGGCAAAGGGGGGGATCTTTTTTCATACACAGGCGGTGGTTTATGTGTGGGTGGAAGGTCAATCCTGCATTAGAAAGGTTAAAAAATGTGACTGCCACATTTAGAAAAAAATAAAAAAAGAGAAGGGGAAAAACAATCTAGGTTCTCTTAATTTTTGAAGATATTTTCCTCATTCTAACATTTATATATCACTGTACATTATATATTTAGTTTGCTCTTATATTTCCACTAACCTATCATAGATGGAAAATAAACTAGTTTTAAAGGTTTCAACGCTTAAGATAATCTAATAGATGCATATTTTAAAAGCAACTCAAATAGAAACATTTCTTCAAATTATTACTAAGCAAGCAATATAGTACATGGCCAATTTATTTATGTATTGCATATTTTTACATCTACATACCTACCAACATTTTAAAGATTGTAAAACATGTATGTAATGGAAGGTACTTGCCCCTAAAGTGTCATAAAAGTGATTTAAAAGACTATATTTTAAAATGATTATGAAAAAAAAGTTTAGATTGTATTTGGAAATACTTCCAAAACTAATTTTTAAAAGCATGGCCACTCTTAGAATATTCACAAATCAAATTAATATTTTCAATCTACAGACCATTATAAACCTTGCAACCTGAAATAACCAAAGGCACCTTAGGGGACCTTAGGTCATTTCTTTTGCCAAAATGACCTAATCTATTAAAAAAAATAGTATCATGCATTTTAAACACTGTTAAATTACAATAAAATAAAAAACAGTGGGGCCTTGACTTACGAGTTTAATTCGTTCCGTGACGGAGCTGTAACTCAAATTACTCAGATGTCAAATCACTGTGACGTTCGCTGCGCCAACTAGCGGTGGGGTATCTGAAGCTGGCTCGTACGTAACCCGAATTTTAGCTCGCAACTCAAAGCAAAAAATCGGCCGAGAGACCGCTCGTATCTCGAAAAAACTCGTTAGTCGGGACACTCGTAAGTCAAGGCCCCACTGTATATCTTGTAGCTTTCTGCATTTTAGAAGGTAATTTTTATATATTCTCATATTCTTGAAGATCACAGGTAAATAATTTTCAGTACTCATAATTAGTAAATCAAACAAGAATGTCACCTATATTAAAGGATAAAGAGAATGAAAAACTATAGAGGCCAAAGTAATTAAAATTGCAGTCTAATAAACTTCTCAATGAGGGCATGAAATCATATATTAAATGAACAGAATTCAAATAATAAAATGGTTACATGGATTTACTAGTCTATTAGTAAATTTTGTTTTTGAAATTATAGAAAATCCTGAGATAATTGGGGAACTAAGATGAAGTTAACCACACACACCCTAGTCATTTGAAATATTATAAAACTCATCTTACAGGTATTGCACTGAAAGAGTATTTTACAGTTCTTTTATCTAAATTAATTACTTCCTTTCATCTAACAAAAATATCAGCAAATTTATAGCTCCAAGATGTCATAGGTCATTTAGGTGAGAAAACTGAAGCTCATGGTGGTCATGTGAGTTATTCATGTTCATGCCACTAATTTGATCATGATAAAGCTGAGACTAACTCCTAGGTGTCTTCAAAACAAAAAGATCAGTGCTATAACTATGCCAGATCAGAGGCATATGCAAAACATTTATAAAAATAAGAAATCTATTCTTTGAGAGCCAGCCTATGTCCTAATATAAAAACTGTAAAAACACACAAGAAATAATGCCATCTGTGTAGAACTTCAGAGTCTATAAACATTATTTTATTCTCTGATCACAACCAGGTGAGGTAAGTAGGACAAGTAATTCTCATTTCACAGATGAAGCAACAAAGCTGTTGATGGAATTACATGAATTGGAACATTAGTATTATAATTTTAAATAAATGTTTTTATTGATTTTAGAAAGATCAGAAGGGATAGGGACAGAGTTAGAAACATCAACGAGAGAGAAACATCAATTTGCTGCCTCCTGCAGCCCCCTATTAGGATCAAGCCCACAACCCAGGCATGTGACCTGACCAGGTGATCAAACTGGTGACCTCTTGGTTGATGGGTTGATGCTCAACCACTGCACCACACTGGCTGGGTGAGACATAGTCTTTTGATTCTACAGCAAAGTGCAACTTCTGCTTTATAATTCTATCTCAATGATTAGGCCAAAACCACTGCTTTCCCTTTAAATAAAAAATGCCCATTTTATAATTCACCAAAACAAAAATTCTTTAAGGATAAAAGTTTTAAAATTAGATGTGTTTAATAACTACTGTCAGTTGAAAGTTAAATCATATTTATACATAAGACAGGCATATATAATCTAAAGAAGCAATTAAACTTCTAAGATTTTTTTTATATCTGTCTTTCAACTACTTCATTAAGAGCTACATTTTTATTCAGAAGGCAGGACAACATAGAGTGCCATTATGTTACCATGTGGAAAGGTGTCTAACGTAGTGTAGGTGAAAAAGATGTCTAATATACTTGTCTCCAGCAGCCCCTTGACATTTTATTTACTGAGATGTAATTTGAGACATTCTGATGAAACCCTGGTCATCACACAAAGATCTAACAATACCTTTATGCACTTTCATCCCTGTCACTTTTCATATGAGTAGCTATAAAGGTAAATACTGACACATACCAAATATTCACAGCTGAAAACAGGCAAAAAAGTTACCTACACTTTGTCAAGATAGGATGGTCTCTTTTTTCGAGGAGTCAGCAGCACAGTCACAAAGACAGCAATGATGAGAAGGGCAAGGACAGCTCCAATTACAGCTCCAGCTATGGCTATGGAAGAGGTGGGCTTAAACGGAACATCTGCAAAGTAATAAAAATTTGGCTTTTCAAACAATTTTAGAGTTCTTAAATTTGCGTATCCTAATTTTACAATGTGCAAGGACTATGTGATTGAAGTATGTCATTCAACAGCAAGCTCAGAGGATCCCAAACTTGATTCTTTTGTAGCATTATACTAACACCCTTCTTGCTCTCAAGATAACACCTTAGCAGTCCAGCTTTGCTTTTCTCGAGTAATGAAAAGAATAACCCAGTCACATCTCAACAAGTGCATCTATTCTCTATGGGCCAAGACTATCTGGAGGAGAAAAGGATGAAAATTTGTAAGTTCTGACTTTAAAAGGTGCTAAAACAAAAAAGTTCAGTATTGTTAACCAACAATATAGACATTTACTATCTTTATTCTTTTTCAAAAATATGTTTATTGATTTCAGAGAGGGAGAGGAAGATAGAAACATCAATGATGAGAGAGAATCATTGATCAGCTGCCTCCTACACGCCCCCTACTAGGGATCGAGCCCATAACCCAGGCATGTGCCCTTGACCGGAATCAAACTTGGGACCCTTCAGTCCGTAGGTCAACGCTCTATCTACTGAGCAATGCTGGCCAGGCACCATCTTTATTCTATTTAAATATAAAGATATCCTATTAAAGGAACCAAAAACCTTCAAGAAGGGGCAAAACATCAACAAAAAAATCCCACTTATTTAAAATAGGCAAAAAGTCACATTGTAAAACTTAAACATTTTAAAAATAAGAAATATTATTAAAATAGTACTGTTATAATTTCCCTTGATAAATGCACATTTAATAAAAAGTAAACTTAAGATAGTATCTCTATTACAACATTAAATGAAAATTCATCCCTGTCTCCTTACTACAGATATACTCTAACATTTCTGAATACCAATTTTCCTTCCCCAGCCTTCACCACAAACTTAGGATTTTTAAAACATAGTATTTAATGGTTAGAATTTCACATAATTCCTAAAAATCAAGTCACACTATTTTATTAACTCCCAAATAAGAAAAATTACTAAAATTACTATGTATTTTTTCAAATATAAGTATTATGGTGACAAAACCACTGGTTCTTAATGTATATTATTTTGACAATTTTAGCCACATTAAATCCAACAATTAAATTTTGTTACAAAGTACCTTCAATATGCATATTTTGTTTTATCTAACTAAAAAGATATTTAACATTTTATAAATGCAGACACTGCAGTTCCAAAGTTAAATATTTTGCCCAAGACCATTAAATCCATAAGTAGTAAAGAATACAGAATAAAATAAAATGAGGTTGGAGTAGGATGGAAGCCTCTATCCTTAAGTTCTTGTTGTGAGAGAATGGTTTTTTGTAGCATCTAATGTAGATGCTCTTTCTGGATCCCCTACTTGATAATGAAGAGCTCTTAGTTTTAAACTGACATTCACAAATACTCTTAAATAATTGAAATTACTTTTGGGATCCAGATATGGCAAATTTAACCAGAATTAAAACACTAACAATTTTAAAATATGCTTCACCTACTTACCATAGTAGTCCATATAAATAAATATTTAGAAATATTTTCCAACTGTTTTTTATTAAAATGTGTCATGTGGTGCTTTAGATTGCTAAAAAAAAAAAAAGCTTTCTTTCCAATTGTAAAAACTTCTTTACTGAACTAAAAAAGTCTGGGTTTAATTGGTCACTTTATTAACTTCATTCTAGAATAAAAATCTTACACCAGTGAGTGCCAACTAACCCATTTCAATCAACTTCTAAACACTGAATATAATCTAACAATAGTAAAACATACAATTATCCTATATAATAAAAGCCTAATATGCTAAGTGTCTGACTGTTCATTCGAGCAGTCACAATGACGCACACTGACCACCAGGGACTGGGCAAGATGGGCTGGACATGCCCTGGAAACCTCCTGCGGCCCCTCCCTGGCCCTGATCATGCACCGGTATGAGGGACCCCACCGGTGCACAAATCTGGGCACCGGGCTCGTCCTATATAATAAAAGGGTGATATGCAAATTGACCCTAACAGCAGAACACCTGGGAATGACTGGTCACTATGACACACACTGATCACCAGGAGGCAGACGCTCAATGCAGGAGCTGCCCCTTGGTGGTCAGTGTGCTCCCACAGGGGGAGCTCTGCTCAGCCACAAGCCAGGCTGATGGCTGCCAGCACAATGGTGGTGGTGGGAGCCTCTCCCACCTCCTCAGCAGTGCTAAGGATGTCCAACTGCAGCTTAGGCCTGCTCCCTGCTGGCAAGCGGACATCCCCTGAGGGCTCCTGGGCTGCCAGAGGGATGTCTGCCAGCTTAGGCCCGGTCCCCTGGGGAGCGGGCCTAAGCCAGCAGGTGGACATCCCCTGAGGGGTCCCAGACTACTAGAGGGCACAGGCCGGGCTGAGGGACATACCTCCCCCCCCCAAGTGCACAAATTTTTGTGCACCAGGTCTCTAGTTTTAAATAATATAACTGGCTGTCATTCAGGATGTTACCCTCATTTACCACTACATGCCTAGCTTATCTTCCTTTTGTTGCTCATTTCTCTACAACCTACTATATCTCCATTTGAGTAAGTGCTAGATGAGAAAAAGATTTGAAACCTAGGTCAGTTAAATATTACTCTGGTCTTGCAAAGGTGAGAGATTTGGGATGACTTAGAGGGGTAATCTATTCTACACTATCACTTTTCCCACCATGAAATTATAGCTTTGTATTCAGTCTTTAACAGTAGGCCAATTGAAACCTATTAAGGTTACGTGATCAAGCTTATTTGACCGAGGTCATATATCTTGGCATTGGCACAAATAAAAAAATCTCAATGTGTCAAGTATGCTTGTTACCTATTTCACACTAGTTATTCTAAAGATTTCCTGTTAATGGAAATTTTTCTTTTGCTAAGGGAGAAAGTAGCCCAATGATATTTTGTCCAAGTATACAGAATTGAAATGAATATTGTTTTGCTGATAATGTCAAAGTTAATACTATATTTATAGTAATACTTCTGAAATTATGTTTGAAAAACTCAGGTTATTATTTTATGTAATTAGTCCAAAGTAAGATTCTGAATGCACAGATTATAAATTCATCAAACCTCACACCTCAAAAAAAAGGTTTTCATTTAGTCTTAGCAATATTAAATTTGTTAGTGCTTTGTAAGTACTAAAACATAATCAGGCTTTTAATATCCTAAAGTAATTCCTGACTCTGAATATATACTATTTTTAATATCCTGAATTCTAAAATCCAAATAAGATACAATTTTCTAAACATTTAAATTATGGTCTACTTAAGATAGTAGACCTGTCCAATTAGTCTTATAATTTATAGCTCTTGCATTCCTTAACTGAGGGTTGACTGTTTGTATACGATGACACTTCCTTCTATCTTAATTTGGGTGTATTTATTGCACCTGGTTCCATCCACTATTTATTCATATTTATCCTCTCTTATTTGCACACCTCTTCTGAGGATCAGAGGCTAGAAAGTACTGAACAGCACAACTGGAATGAAAGCTTTCTTTTTACCAATTAGATAATCTGCTCTATATAGGTAAATCAATTGTTAAACATATATTTGGGGTATGTTTCATATTTCCACTTTTTCTTCTTCTAATTGACAAAAAAAGAAGAAAAAATATATTTAAGGGCATTAACAGATGATGAACACTAGTATGAAGTGCAAAGAGCTGAAATATTTGCATTAAAGTCAAAGAATTTTGGTGAAAATTTAGAATTTAGCCCCAGCTCTGCCTCCCCTATATCCCTGCCCACATAACCTGTATAGACTCTATATTCAACAAAAAGAACTGCATTGAGAAAACAATTAAGTAACCAACTGTATAAAAATGTGGACTTTGAAAACATTAAGCAAGTTTACTGACATGAAGTAACATTACCATCACCTGGGGAGATGATCTACTAAATCTGAGCCTGTGCTGATAAGCAGCAGAAAAGAGAACATTAAAATTTTTAGTATTAAAGGACTAGTGCATGTATCTCTCAAAACAAGTTTCTTGTCTGCACAGCAGTTACATGAACTCAAATACATTGAGAACTCACTTCCAAAACCAGAAAAATAACATTCCCCAAAACAACTTAAGTATACCACTCATAATTAAAGATATCATGCATATGTCTTATGAGAAAAAAATGTTCAAAAATCAGTTACAAATCAGACTGAAAAAAAATAAGAAATAACTTTCATTACTTTTTGCAAAAAATAAATACATTGTAGATAATAAACTAATATTGTCTTTATTACAAATAAAATATGTGAAAGGTATTCAAACACACACTCACCTTACATCTGAAACAGGCATGACAATATTTTTAAAAATACTATTCTATACATGGAAATAAATGTTTACAGTAATTTTCTAAAAACATTTAAAAGCCCCTTTTCACTTACTGGTACATTCCAATACCCAGTCCAAACAATTAAATAAAACATTTACGTTTTGTTTCTTTTCCCTCTTGATTCCTTTCATCAAAACTTCAGCGATACCATCATGACTAACAGGTCAATGTGATACCTATAAACTTATCTTCCCATCTTTTATTTGCTTCCATAGTACAGTATGTCACTGTATTGCCATTTTTTTCTGCATAAATAACCCCATCCTTTTATTTTTAATAGCCTTTTTTAATACTTATCTTTTCAATATGACATCTAAATATCTATATCCAGCCAATATTTATCTATGTTTTAATAAAAGTCCTCTACTTGAGTCAGGTCAGTCTCAGTCACTCATCCAACAAATTACCTATAGTAATCTGTGTCAGGTCTTACACTAAGTGCTAGGACAGCAAGGATGAGTTTTACATAGTTCCTGTCGTCATAATACAGCACAAAATCCCCTAAGTGGGGCCACACAATCCATTAATATACTTTCCAATGAAGTGTAGAAATTATCACTTATCTAAAAAAAAAATAGGAGAGGAGAGAGGGCATTTAATAAAAATAAATGTTGTTCTAGTATTCATGGGCACTGGTAGTTCCAA